GTCTGTAGCCCTGCTGTGCAATGTATGAGCACTCGCTCTTGTCCTCGGGTCGCCAAGGGGGACAGTTTTATGGAGATCACTTTGTCTCACAGTGACTGGACTGGCACATTTCCTTAGTGCACCCTGCACACGTGCTGCGCACCATGCCAGCCCAGTCTGCCCTGAAAGGGTCCCCGAGGCCTCCTAGAGTCTACAGGTGCAACCTCTGTGCCTGTCTTCCACAGCAGAAATTGCCAGGCCTGCGGATCTGGGGTTGCAGTCCGAGAATTCTAACACCCCACACTTGGTGCTCACAGGCCCTTCGAGGGCACACGTTCCAGCTGGAAGTGGCCGCTGAGGCTCATCCATACCTTATTCTTACGCTTCTCAGTCCATCTGTCAGCACAGTACTGTGGCTACAACTAACCAGGGAGTGGAAGTTCACTTTTCCGATCTTCCTGCTGCCTTATGTGGTGCAGATGTGTCTTCCCCGGGTGCAGCTTGGCCTTCGCATCATTGTCCCTGGAGGAATTTTATGTGATATAATTCCTGTGCTTTGTTTAAAACTCACCATGCTTACATACTGTTTCTTACACTACCACAGGTGTTCTGTGACCTTTTTGTAGTCATTTTTTAAAATTTATGGATTTGCTACAAGGTCTCACTATGCTGCTCAGACTCGTAATGATCCGCCTGTCTCAGCCTCCCCACTGCTGGGATTATAGGCATGTGCCACTATGCCTGGTCTCAGCAGCCAGCTCAAGGGATCGAACCCTGGTCCCTGCCCTTGCCTAAGCAGGCACTTAGTCCACTGAGCTATCTTGCCTGCCCTTATAATCATATTTTAAATAAACCATTCCTGATCTGATATTATTAAAATCAGGAATAAATAATTGCAAAATTCAGATTGGAGCAACAATTAGAAACCTCTTAACACAGTGTATTCTCCTATGAAGTCATCAGGACAGGCATAATTCACACAACTGCAATGGTCCTCTGTGACCTCCCTTCCTCCTTCTGCAGATCTAGGAAGGGAGTGACTTGAGGTCAGGCTCAGGAGCCAAGCTGTGGCTCCAGGCTTTGAACTCCAGGGAGCTGGGCCAGCCAAATAGCTCAGCAGATTAAAGCACCTGCTTAGGCAGTGGCCGGGGTTTGATCCCCAGCCTGCCGTGCGAGCCCCAGCCCCCGGGCGGGGCCCGCTGAGATGGCGATGGAGTCTGGGTGTTGCGGTGCACGCCTGTAATCCTAGCTCTTGGGAGGCTGAACCCAGGCGGATCACTACAGATCCAATCTACATAGTGAGACCCTGTAGATCCTGTACTAAAATACATAATAAGAATAAACTCCAAGAAGCTATTATCAGGTGGCTCCTGAAGAAAGCTGATTATCCTTTTTAAAATATCATTTCTGTTTTTATTAGTGCTGTACATGTTTGAAGTCCATAATGAAAGCGGGTTAAAAAAAAAAAAAGGTGAATTCCCCACTGAATAGCCTCATTCCTTTTAAACAAAGCGTCGCCAGATGCCAAGCTGGATGTCAGAGTGTATCTTCGATGACATAGTTTTCTCTTTATGGGCCTTGCCTCCCAGTGGAGTGAAGTGCCAGAACTCCCTAAGCTGATGTGCTGCTCTAAAATGTTTGGTCCATCTGCTCATGGTGAGCTCTGATGGCCTGACTGGGCGAATGCAGCTGGCTGGACAAACAGCTGTGTGGCGGGGCGTGGCAGGGCGGGGCGGGGCGGAGGGACAGTTTTCCACACAAGCTGCAGGACTCCTGAGTCTGTAGCTCCAAGTGTGGTGACCCAATCCTTCCCCTGTCTTCATGTATTTCATTTTGCCCATTATAAACGAGCACTAATTTGATCTTTTCCTTCCATTTCTCTATCCACATTATTGAAAGAATGCTCTGTCTTCCTTCAAAAGATATATCTGAGTTATTACTTTTTATACTATTGCAAAATATACATAACATGCAATGTACCATTTTAACAGTTTTAACGGTGTGGTTCAGTGACATCAGTGCCTTTGTACCGTCACACGACAATCACCTTCAGCGATCGCTGGAACCTCTTCATCATCTCAGACTCAGCATTTGCACAAAACCTTCACGTTGCCCTTCCACCCACCCAGGCCCTGGCAGGCAGGAATCTTTTTGCTGTCTTTATGGATTTGAGGGTCACTGGTACCCCATATAATACTTCTCTAGGGATATATTTAGTTGGTTGATGTACCAAACAAATGCAGTGACACTGATGAAGGTTTATATAGCACTCTGGCTGTGTGGAGCGGGAGGTCCAGGGTTCAGCAGCCTTTGTCTCCACTGCGTTCACTTGGTGCAACTTCTAAGGCACCCCTGGGAAGAGTGGGACATTTGGGTTATCACCTTGACAATATTTACAGCAATGAATTCTCTGGCAGCAAATTGATGGTCATCTTGTTGTTTTGTTTCATGCTGATTGATTGCTAATTGCTCCCTCTTGTCAACTGTCAAATAGTATATGAGAAAGTACATTTAATTTTGGAGCTACTTTTGAAAAATATCTAGGGCTCCCAGGAATGGAAAAGGACTGGTATGCTGGTGTGTTTCACCAAGTATACAGGGATGTCATTTAAATGCTATTAACATGCAGGCAGAAATGTGTACATCCAATAACTGATGGGATTTTCCAATTAAAAACAGAAAGACAAGGGTCAGTGAGATAGCTCAGTGGACTAAGTGCCTGCTTAGGCAAGTGCAGAGACTAGGGTTCGATCACTGGCACCACATGCAATACCAGCCCCTTCTCCCCAGGCACACTGAGTGGAGACCAGGTGTGGTGGTGCACACCTGTAATGCCAGCCCTGGGGAGGCTGAAAGCAGTACGATCACTAGGAGTCTGAGCTGCATATTGAGACCCTAGACCAAATACATAAAAAAAGAAAAAACAGGAAGACAGTTCAGAAAAATAGGATATCAGTAATTGGCTGAGTTCAGTATGGCGGTGTACTTTGCAAATCCCAGCACTCAGGAAGTTGAGGCAGGAAGATTGGTGTGAGTTCAAGATGAGTGTGTGCTGCACGGTGAGTTCAAGGCCAGTCTGCACTACATAGCAAGACCTCATCTTAAAAAAGTTTGAAAAAGGGGGGAGGGGGAGGGACTGGCCAATTGAACATGCAAGAGACATGTGAGTGTGGTTAAGATCTCTTAGAAGAATTTGTTACTCTACGTCCGCCTTTTGACACAGAACAGAATTGTGAATGTGCATTGTGCCTCCCTCCCTGCACAGGGCACATGATTGCAAAGGGAGGCTGCTTCCGAGACCTGAGTTTCCAAGTGAACGCTTCCTTCTGCAACCCCAAGACCCGGCCTGCCACAGGACTGGTGTCCTGCAGAGTAGCTGCCTGTCCTCCCAGGTAACAAGCGCCGTGTGTGTCTTACCAAGAGCATAGTTTGCCGATAAATTCAGTGCGCCCTGGCGGCCCTGAAGTTGGGGAACCAGTGCTGACTCCTGTTATGTGACCACAGCCACAAAGAGCCATCAAAACAAGTGGTGCCTGAACACAGGGTCTAAAAATGCATGCTTAGGCAACACATGGCCTGGAGGCTCTGGGGTCTGCAAGTGGACTATTCCTCCCGTATCCCTGCCCGTGCACACTGGCATCTGGTCACGATGTTCCCCACCATCCATGATCTCAGCCCAAGAACCGCTGTCTGCCTCGATGCCCCAACCATCTGTGGGCTGGGCTGAGTTGGAGAACAGGAGGACAACTTGTTGTGCACTCAGTCTGAGCCTGAAGTGTCAGCTGACAGCTCACTCCAGGCCACTGAGGAACGGATCTCTTTGGCCAGCTGAGGCAGGACAAAACAGGACACCCCTATCTGCCAAAAGGATTTCCCTTCTGGAGGAACTAAGGATCAGATATAAACAAAGCTGGACCCTAGCTTAAGTGGCGCTGCCACTTAATTAGTGAGGACTATTGCAGCAGGGAGGAGCTCACCACGACAGGAGCTCAGTTTCCCCTTGTGCAGGAGTCTGGATGTTCCTAGGGGAATGAAGGAGTGGGCCTGTTGGCTGCAGATCAGGGCAATCAGGGAAAAGAAAGAACATCAGAGGGTATAAGGGGCATGTCGTGAGCTGATCAGGCCCATGACCTCTTAAATGAGTGGACAGCAAGCAGCTTAAATCAGAGAGACCAGTCATGTGGTTTTGCAGCACCCAGGAAAGTCAGAATACTCTCTCAGAAGAAAGGATGAAGAGCTCTGCCCAACAACTTGTACTTACTTGATTTACAAAGAAAGGAAGGGAATATTTAGGCAAGGCAAGAATGGAGCAGGACCTTGGGAAGTTAGTTCAAAGAAGTCTCCAAACAGTGTGCTTTGCCAGTTAAGGGAGCTATCTGGTCTCCAAGGCTGACAGCTTTATTGCTGTGGAATAGGGCGTATCAGTAGCCTGTGCCCTCGGCTGTCTTAACTGTGTTGTTAGCTTTTTTTTTTAATTTCTTTTTTTTATCTTTTGTATTAATTTTTTTGAGAAACAAATAGCAATGAGACAGTTTCAAAACCGATTAGTAGGACAGTTTCAATAATTAATACATTGCACATTATTGTCTTCATAGTTGTTATTCATATTATAAGATGCAGACATGATATCCTGTCCAAACACTATTAGTACAAATCTTTCTTCTCATTACTAAGAGAAAGTAGCTGTATATCTATCCCAACTATTTTGTATATACATATACAAAATGGTCCTTCATTTATATCCTGTTTTTTTTGTTTAGTTTTGTCAAATATGGGCATTCCATTGCCATTTAAATATTGTAGGTACATGAATTCAGCGAAGTAATCCAATATAGTCCCTGAGTCCATAATAGTAGTGGATTATCTGTAGCACTGGCAGTGTCAGAAGTTGTTGACTCGAGCCTTTTGCAGCTCAGCATATTAAGCTTCTCTTCTGAAGGGTTACCAACTTAGCTTTGCAGACCAAAAATTAGAAAGAAAGAAGGGCTGCAAGGACAGCCAACATTTTGGCCCTAGCCTTTCAAGTTCAGTGAGGACCCAGGGCATAAGAGAACCTGTACTGTAACATCCTGTAACTCCGTGATGTCCTAAATTTTCTGATCAAGGAGATTATGAGACCACAGAGAAAAGTGATCAATGATGCACTGTGTGCCTAAGGAGAGTCACATGGAGAGAAAACATTCTCTCAGGCTTTCACAGAGAGCACATTGGCCAAGCAATGGCCGTGACTCATCCACATGGCTGACACTGACAAAGGATCTACAATCTGAGGTACAGGATCTCAGGACAAATCCTGAGGGGATTTCACTGAACTTATCAGACCCAAAAGCTACAACCCTTGTTGCATAGGTCCTGCTTTATCTTGGCCTTAACCATCCAGCAGAAAAATATAAAAATGAAGTATAAGAAGTAAAGCAGCGGGGTTATGTTGAGCTGTAGGGGACTCAGGTCAACAATTTCTGACATTGCCAGTCAAGCGGAAGACCCAATACTATTATGGGCTACTGGACTCTTTTAGAATATTTTGCTGAGTTAACACACCTATAGTATTCAAATGACGGAATTAAACAAAAAAGGGGATACAGATGAATGACCATTTTGTATCTGTGTATTCAAAATGGTTAGGATAGATATATAGTTACATTCTCTTAATGAATAAAGGGATTTGTTCTAATGGTGTTTGTAAATAGGATATCATGTCCGCATCTTGTACAGCAAATAACCACTAGAAAGAATGTATGCAATGTGTTAATTATTGAAACTGTCCTACCAGTTTGATTTGAAACTGTCTCATTACTATTTGTTTCTCAATAAAATTATGGGGAAAAAAGAGACCTACAAACTGCAGTACAGGGTTTCAGGGTAGGTCCTGAAGGCATTTGACTGAACTTGTCAGATACAAAAGTTACGTTTCTTGTTATATAGGTCTTGCTTTATCTTGGTCTTAATCATCCATCAGAAAAGTTTAAAAATGAGGCTACAAAGTAAAGCCATATTCATGTGTTGTTAGCTTGACTACAGAGCACTGTGTGTTTGAGCCTTCCCAGCACAGCAGAGGTCCCTGTGCTTAGCAGCGACCTAACCCTACAGCCTGGTCTCCAGCAGAGAGGCGCCTTAGAAACCCCACCCCACCTGCTAACTCACTCATGGGACTCGGGCTCCTCTCCCTCAAGTGACAGGGACTCTAGCACAAGAACAGGCAGTATACTTTTTGGCTGGCTTTGGTCTCTCCGGAAGGTGCTCAGTGGGGCTTGGGCTGCCTAGGGGCCTCTCCTTGACCTCTGGATAAAATCAGTCTAAGAAACTAAAGTTTGGAAATGACAGCGTCTTTGTTATTTGTTGCAGCCCCTGCAGAGCTGGCTCTGCGTCTGTGCTCCAGGTGACAGTAAATTTAACACCATTATAATCATGTGAGATCACCGTTATGCATGAAGCCCCTTGAGGACCAGTCCATCCTTATAGAGCCTGTCACTGTGTGTGCATTTGTGTGTGTGAGTGTGTGCGCGTGCGCTGGTGTGTGGCCATCCGCTGTGAGTACTGCTGCTTCGTCTCCTTCCTGTCCTCTTCCTCTGCCTTTTGAGCATGGAGAGATCCGTAGCCACAGCTGCCTCTGAGTTCTTCCATGTGCCGTATTCTCTATTTAACTCGGTCCAGGGCAGTGTAGTAAACCAAGTAATTCTGTTGTGGACAGAACAGACAGGAGTGCACTGGCAGCAAGATCAGTGTAAGCCAAAGTTAGACAGATCTGTCCTGAAAGCATCTAGAAAGCCCTGGAATGGGGCAGCTCCATATGCACCTGGGAAACATCTAAGGATCCTTCCATTGCCTACCTCTTCCATGTCTGCATCTGTATTTTAGGATATTCCTATTTTTCTCTGCAGGAGAAAGCTTCCAGGTTTGGAAGAACAGCCTTCCTGCTCTCCCCAGTTCATAGGTTCCTGCCTTGGGGTTCTTAGGAGTTGGAGCGGGTCAGGGGATGGCTCCAGTTTCTGACTTACCTAGGGACAAAGCACCTCAGCCGCCGCTGCCATCACTCCCCTCCTGGAGCTGTCTGCTGGGGCCAGTAGGGCTGGACCTCATGGAGGGGTAGCTGTCCTGCCCAGGCCCCACCTGTCACCTGTGTCAGATGCAATCCAGTCACGGTGGCCCCTGTCTCCTAGGGTAAGGAGGGGATTTGTTGAGATAATCTACCTAACAGCTGTGACATGGGAGATACACTAAGTCTTGCTTGTTTTATGTTTTATTGTCAAAGGAAATGCATACCCATAGTTTTTTAGTCTGTGAAGCAGAATTTTCAAAGATAAAACTCAGAAAAATGAACCACACTACAGATTAATCCATCTGGATTAGCACTTGATTTTACCAATGGAGTTGAGACAATGTATTTTAGTTCAAGGTGCTGTTTTGCTTTTCCTCTGAAATGTAAGAGATTTCTCTCATGTTTAGGATGCTAGCAATTTTTTAATTCCTGACCATGTAGGTAGAAGGCCTAGGTCTGTTTTTCTGCCAGTAAAAGCATATCCTGCTTCGGTCTAACTGGGCTGCCCTGAGTCCTCTAAAGCCACTGTCTCTTGGGAATTTAACTGCCAGCCTCCCTCATGCATTCTGTGGCTGAGCCACAGGGTACAGTGGGGTGAGAATTGTCACCTCCTGTCTGACTTGAAGGAAGGGTCCTCCAAAGAACAAGGAGTAGAACCTTTCAAACAACCTTTGAACCACAATCTTCTCTCCTGTAGCTCAAGTGACAAGGGAAGCCAACTTGCTGGTTAGAGCCGCAACCCTGGTCACAAATGGAGAGCTGTCTGGCCTTAGGGACCCACCCCCAAATCATCAGCTTGTGCAGGGGAGGCTGCTGGGAGTCAGGGTCCCATGTGGGAGAGGTGATTTCAGCAGGTGTGCAGGCTTCAGCCAGTGGAGCAGCACAGCTCAGTCACGGGGCTGAGTCACGGGGCTGAGTTGTGGAGCATCAGCGGTTCGGGGCTGCTCCAGGGGTGCAGGGACAGTAGCCCCCATTCCTCCTCTTGGCCCTGCTTCTAGAGCTGACAAACTGCTCACTGCCCTCCTGTGGCTTCCCCACCACTGCCTGCATATCAAGCCAAGCATTTCTGTCACTTGACTTTGAAGCAGGAGTTACAAATCACACAGCGATCTGCATCCTTCATGCTTGTGGGTTTATCGAAGTGGAGTGGCTCATGTCATCTATCGTAACGCGCGTCTTCCCAGCATGAGCACAAACAGCAGGCCTTTCACAGTGGAGGGCACTTGCGAAAGAAAATGTTTTCCAGATGGCACACGGACACACTCCCCTCTGCTCAGCACTCCAGAAGGAGTGGAAGGGGAGTCCCGGTAGCTCCTGGGGTACCAGGCTTCTTGTTCTCTTAGGAAGCTGCAC